TATATATATATATATATATATATATATATATATATCAGCTTACCTCTATATGCAGAAAGAGCTGAAATAACCACAATGAAAAAGGATGTGGAAACTGGGTGAGAATAGAGTAAGATATTTTTCATTTAGGGAATGGGTTAACCAACACTCAGTAACTCTGCACAGAGGCAATTAAGAGTATGAAACATGTAATAAATTAGGATCATAGGGCCTATCAACCATCATAAAAGAAGCATAACATCAGCATTGAGAAGTATATACCCCCATATTTTATGGCTCAGGAACCAAACAAGACAGGAAATGCTATATAAACACTTAAGTACTAAACTAAAAAGGCTTCCAAAGATTACTTGAGATCTGGATCTATCTGATTCGTTCACCTGGGTCTCACAACAACATGTAATATGCAACCTGATTTGAAATTGAATGAGAGACCCTAAAATATGAACCTGTCCATGTTGGTGTCATAATAAAACATAATAAAAGGAGTGAATCAATCTCAATCAGAAAGGGAGACTCCATTTATAATGGTGGTCATATAAAGGATTTGAAATATCAAAGCATGAGGATAAACATTAAATGCAGTCAAAACATAAGTATACATTCCCTTCTGAAGGATCACCAAGTTACAAGAGAAGCAAGTGTGAAAAGAGAATGAATATGGCTTTAGAAGTAGGGCCAATAAGCAAAATCAAACCCTAATTTGAGAAATATGTGACGAAGACTGCAAAAACACTACTGTGACACTATAAGGCATTTACACCTAATAATATAATGAATCTCTACCAGATAATAAGCTACATATACCAGGAAACCAGCAAGATGTTAAAACCAGTGGAAAAAAAGTCACAGAAATATCTTCACAGGTCACATTTAACAGTAAAAATATACTCTACAAAGAAGTTGCACATGGGGATTTTGTATGGATAGAAAGAAATCAAAAATGAACAAGACAGTCAGAGCCACCAACTCAATGAAGGGAAGGGTGTGAGAAAAAAAAGTACACAAACTATTAGATATACACAAGTGTTTCAGATTAATATGAGCATTACAATTTTGATAGTTTGTATAGCATAGGTGTCATATTTAGTTATTTTCAGAAGCAATATTTTATGGCAAGTTTGTTTATGTAACTGTTTATGAATTCCACATTGTGTAGTTCAATTGTTATGAATTACCAATTGTTTACAATAGAGAGATTATTGTATCATGTTTTTCATTGCTTCAGTTGGTTATTATTGCATCATGATATCTAGTATTATGTGGAATAATCTAGTATTTTGCCAGGGTATAAATACACGTTGAAAAATCAATATTGAGATCTAGTTACAGAATGTGTGATCATGAGTTTAATGATAACAGTGTATAGTGGTGATTTTTAAAGTGAAATTACCACAGACTGTATTGTAATAACAGAGTAGAGAAGAATAATTTGTCTTGTCAATTGTGTTCTGAAGCCACTGAACCAATCTGTGTGGACTTCGACAAAAAAGAGAATTATTTAAAGCTCTGGATACAACTATGGTATCCAACAGTGTAATGAACATTTGTATCCATCTTTGATTTGTTTTTAATATATTATTTTTAAAACAAGCAGACTGTGTTGCTATTTGTTTATAGTTGAAATTTATTGTCAACAAGTTATATGCATCAATTACAAAGAATATGGCCTTACAAGCCTGACACAAATGTAGTTTAATAACTGGAGCCAGTGATGAAGGAACAACCCTATTAAAAAGAAAGCAAAATTAAGTTACAAATTTTACAATTATGGCTGTTAATGGAAATGGAACCAAGAATGTATCTGTTATAAAATTTCGTATGACATTTTCCTTAAGTTTGGAAGAAGACAAACACAGACAAATATCAAAATTTCCTTATTATACAGAACAAAAGTTAAAGCCACTGAAATGTGTATGGTAATGCCTTTCTTTTAACAGATAAAACCTTCTTGATAGGCCAAGTTATCTGCCAGAATATTTGTAAGACTAGGCAAAAGATATACCCCAAAACAAAATGTTTCATTCCTAAAATAAAAGATCCAACATTTGAAAATGCAGAACTTTGGAAGCAATTAGTTTGTTAATTGTGAATGAACAAAACAATAGTGAAGCTGTATAGATGACTGACACAAGACAACTAGATAATATACCGGATCTAAACTCCATCCAAAACCAAACTTCTGACACCTGGTACATATAAAGTTCTAGCCCTTAACCCTCTCACCACAGGCATCCTTTACAGCACATCACAAGGGTTTTAGTGAGTTACATTCAAAATTTACTTAAACTACTTTTTGTTTACATTATACCAATTAGTACAGCTTAAAATCTTAGCTAATAATCCCATATTTTAATAGTAAATAAATTTTAATTCTTAATTTTATAAGGCAATATTAAACTGCAGACAGCCAACTTGTAAGATTAAATTGTCATAAAAATATACATAGAAACTCTAATGTCAGTTTGTTTAATAAATATGAGATGCACTGAACTATAATAATTTCATACAACAAAAACTCAACATCAGTGATTGCCGAAAAGGGATTAAAAGATGTTGATTCTAGTCTCCTAATTAAATATTCCATCACTTCATGACAGGACAACTCTCAACTTTTATAAATAAAAAGAAAACAATTACAGATGTGACAGCAAAACTTCCAAGAACATAAAAAAACAAAAAAACAGTAATTAAGAATAGAAATTGCTGGAAAGTCATAGAAGTACATAAAAGAGCCAGCATATCCTCAACAGGACACTGAGTTGGTAGAAAAGGGATTTAGATATTACCTTGGCCAAAGTTAGAGTATATCCCTCACAGTAGGCAAATTGCATCCTATTATCATTTACAAGGCCTAATATTTCAGAATTTGATGGCCAGAAAGTGACCTGGGAGTCTTCCTAACAAACTGTATCACTTAAGACTTACCAAAGTATCAGCAACTGAATCTCTTAAAAAGTAAAGAACAGCTTGACAAAACACAATAAAAGAAAAAGTATGGGAAAAAATGAACAACAACAAAGAAAAGGTAAATGAGAAAAGTCATACTAACAAGACTGCAAATTAGCACTAATAAGAATGGAACAGCTAACTAAGAAATGGGTGTAGGCTAATTTCATTCTGATTATGTCCAAAGTTGTAGCAGATGGATGAGTGGCCTCCATCACGCCAAGAGCCCATGAAAACTTAAGTTTGAATGTAACATCACCCAAATGATGAACAGAAGTGACTAATATTACTATGTAATTACTATGGAAAAACAAAATTCAAAATATATATAGAGGGAAAGTTAATATATTCAAAACTTTCTCTGAAAGCTTATTTTTCTCATTATTCATAGTGGCAAAAAAATCAAAATGCTCCAATAAACTCAAAAACCAATATTATTGGTCACTAAGTGCATTTTTCAAAAAAACCTATTCACAAACTTTTCAGAACGACAATCATGAACTACATATCACACTTGATATGAGCAAAGTGGCAGAATCACTTGCAGTAAGTAACAAACTAAAAACAATGTGTTCAGCAATTAAAAAAACAACAACACTGTTGCATGAAAGACCAACTTTCATGTCACAAAGTATGCAAAAAAGAAATTTCATCCAAGTTATCACAAATTTTGTTTAGTTTCAAAATTGTTAGTAGTGATTTTATAAACAAATTTTAATATTTTCTATAAAAAAATGATATTTTTTGGAAGGAAGACAAAAAATAGCCTGTCTAAAACACACAATATTATCATCTAGGCAAATACCGAGATTAGGAAATTTGCAAAACTTGGTATTACTTATATTAACTACTATTTTTCTTAATAATTACAATAATTTGTTTCTCTTGAATACTTCAAAATTCCAAAAGTGCATTGACACAAAAACATTTCTGCTATCAACAAAGACTGTTCACATTAAAAGCTCTGCCCAGCAAGTTCATTTGAGATCCATCGTCCTTATTTATGCAAGCCAATGCGATCACAGAAGATTTAACTCTACATGTACAATTTTGTGTTAGCAATCAATCAACAACACAAATATTTTAGTGTACAGAAGGGTTCATCCTGCACTCACTCAACAGTATTTGGAAATCTAGAATTTGAATTTCTTTATCTGTCTGTGAGGTAAAAGAAATAGTCCATTAAAAATATTAAATTTATATATCTAATAA